CTTGACATTACGGACATGGCGACCTGGGAGGGACTTCTTCTCTAACTTTCCTTGGAGAGATGTCTGTTCCACTGACGAGGGTGCGTCGGCTGTCTGTTCTTCGATAACAGAAATTATCCACGTCGGAATAGAGGAATACATCCCTCAGACAGTGAAAGTGCCTAAACCAGGGTCCAATGGCTGGTTTAACAAATCGTGTGACACTGCTCGCCAGCAGAAGATCAAGGCACACAGAACCTTCTTACAAAACCCAACTGTAGAGAACAGACAAGCCAGCGTCGAGTCCAGAAACAAATATAACGAAGCGGTTCGCAATGCCAAAAACCAGCACGATATAAGAGTTAGGCACAGGGTAATTTCGCAGCGCAATGTCAGTCGGTCTTTCTGGACGCTGGCCAAGCAGATTGAAAAGAACTTCTCACAAAGTAGCCTTCCACCACTTACGTGTCAGGATGGAACTATTGTATTCGACTCAAAGGCCAAGGCGGAAGTGCTAGCCAAGATCTTTGCTGCCAACTCCACCATGTACGTCCCCCCCGACGCCTAAGTGCCGTCAATTCAAAGAGTTCCCTACACTATGCGGGAGGTAACAATCAGGCATAAGACCGCAAGGCGAGTGCTCTTGTCGCTCGACATCAACAAAGCTTCTGGTCCGGACGTGATTCCTACCATTGTACTGAAGAGGTGTGCAGCGGAGCTTGGTCCAGTTCTTTCGTGTCTCTTCCAGATATCTTATGAATCCGGCACCTTCCGAGAAAACTGGAAATTTGCTCATGTCCAACCCATCCCAAAAAAAGGATCTAAGACCGACCCTTACAACTACAGGCCTATAGCTCTGCTTTCTGTTACAAATAAGGCGATGGAGAGGTGCATAAATCGCGAGCTTCTGGACTACCTCGAACGCCACAGCTTGATTAGCGACAGGCAGTATTGTTTCCGGCACCAACGATCCACAGGGGACCTCCTAGCTTACGTCACGCAATTGTGAAGTAAACTCATCCAGTGTTATGGTGAGGCTCATGTCGTAGCTCTTGACATCACGAAAGCGTTCGATCAGCTGTGGCAAGCTGCCCGCTTAAGTAAACTTCCATCCTATGGCCTCCCAGAAAAGCTTTGCAGATGGGTGGCTGACTTTATCTCTGGCCGCAAGATACCCTTAGTAATTGACGGGTTCTCCTCTGCATGCTCACAACGTCAACGCGGGTGTTCCTTAGGGATCGGTCTTGGCTTCGACAGTTTCTCTTACATATCCACGACCTCCTTTCCTGCACGATCAACCCAATCCACAGCTTCGCTGATGACAGCACTCTACATGCAGGAATTCAGAGTGACAAGCCGATCTCTGCCGCTGAGCTGGAAAAAAGAAGACTAGCGAGGACTCCCTCTCTGACAAGAGACCTGGAGGCTATCACTGCTTGGGGACGCAACAATCTTGTACAGTTCAGTGCTTCCAAAACACAGTACTGTACTTTGACGAACCAAAAAGCGTCCTAGCGCTCATCCGGTTTCGATGGATGGCCGAGTTCTGCCAAAGAGCCATCCATTTCGGCTGGTCGGGCCCAGATCACCGAGGACCTGATCTGGCACGAACACGTCTCGTCAATAGCTGCAGCTGCTGGGAAAAAGCTAGGCTATTTGTTTAGGGCTAAGAAGTACTTTTCTCCGCACGATCTTCCCATTCTATACAAGGCCCAGATAAGGCCTAGCCTCGAATATTGCTCACACGTTTGGGGTGCTGCCGCCCCGTCTACATTTTCCGTGCTCGATGCTGTCCAGAGGAGGGCGGTCCGACTGATCGATGACTCTTCTCTAAAAGACAGTCTCGGGACTCTTTCGCACCGGCGGGCCATCGGCGATCTAGCTCTTTTCTACCGCTATACTAACGGGCTTTGCTCCGCAGAGCTCTCTTCCATGATGCCACCGCGCGATGTGCCTGCCAGACAGACCCGTCCGACTTTGGCGTCCCATCCTAACCGTGTCGAACTTCGTACATCCAAAACTGGCCGATACGACCGCTCCTTTGTCCCGAGGGTGTCGAGATTGTGGAACGATCTACAAGAGTAGTTCTACTAACCTTAGGCAGTTCAAAAATCGTATTTTCAAAATTTTTTTGGGATCATCATAGCAGCCGCGGTGTTCCGGCATTTAGGCTTCTGCCTGCGCGGCTGCTTCGATATAAAAAACAAAAAAAAACCTTTGATATTCGTTATCCTCCGGAATCTTCATACATACATGAGACATCTGAATTCAAAATAGAAAATTAGGATAAGGGCTTTATCTCATTTTATGTCTATAACACAAAGTATGGCAAATGTAGATTTAAATTTCTTAACACGATAAATCAGTTGATTCGTTTTTATGATATGTATGTAAAATACATATATTTTCCTTTGGAAACGACAAGCATGCGGTTATAGGAGCGAAGGATACACCCAAAAAATATCAGTTTAAATTTTAGTTACGAAGGTAATCATACATAACTGAATATATAATGTTGAAAAAATAAAACCACTAATACCAGAACAGAAGGTTTGGGATCTACCATACTAAAGATTCAGAAAAAATAGTGACATTCGTCAGCTTTAATCTAAAATTACTTCATTTTTCAAGCAATAACGGTTTTACAATGAGATGAAGGGAATTCTGTTTATAAACGTAAATTTTATCACAAAAGTATGACAATGTTCCCACTTAACAAAATAATTGTCATTAAAATTCTAATATTCGAGTCATGACATCAGCTTTTCAACCCGTAAATAACAGTTTATTCCATAATTCATCATTTTCCAATCGCTTTCCACTGAAAAATTTCTTAACCTTTGGGAAAGTTAGAAATCTGTTGGTGCTAGATCAGGGTTGTATGGCGCATTTTCGATTCAATGGATTAGTTCAGAATGCCATGCCATACAGTCCCAAAAAAGCACCAATCGACATTTTTTCTTTATTTTATCTATAACAAAAAAGTTTAAACATTTCTTAGCGAAAGGCGATTCGAATGATGCATGAATCTTTTAGCATTAGATCCTTGGAAGGTAATAGAATAATACAAGCCCGAGTTAGGAGACTTCAATTGTATTATCTTAAGAGAAATAACTGAAACTTGGCACCACTGCACGGAGGACTTATCCACTGATGTTTAGATAATTTGAGTATTTTGGAGGACCTAATGCCGCTTTGTTATCTGGAGGGTATTCCGGTAGAGGACACATCATACGGTTTTTGAAAGGGAGACCTATATAGAGGACTTTGTATGGAAATCCGAAATGTTAATGTACTGTTTTTTTAACTGATCTTGGATCAATGTGTCTTGATTTCGGATATATATTCAGTATTTCTGGTAGGTGACTTATTGCTGGTTTATGAAAGGAGGACCTATCCACGTGGAGATGTAAATATATATATACATATATATTTCATCTTTTTTTCACTGATAATTTCCACATTATCCAACACGTGCCGGCCGACCTTAGGTAGTTGATAGTTTTAAAATCTCCAAATTTCTTCCAAAATCTATCAACGTTTAATTAAAAAAATCTTTCAAAATGATTTGCCATTTAATAATAAAATAATTCAGTCCTAATCGAACCTCATCAGTCCAGTTTTTTAATCGTTGACTATGTGTTCCCTTCACTGTTGTTTAAAAACAATTTCAGCAACAATCTCGCCGACTTACTCCAGACAATGAAGACACAGATCTTCAAAAGCTTGAGAATTTAAGTTATAAGAGTGTACTTTTGCAATACTTTGCCTTCTACCCAAAGAAATTAAATATCTTCTCCTAACAGTTAAGGCAATTAACTATGAATACTATATATAATATAAATATATATATATATATATATATACGAGCAGTAGTCATTGCCATTGCCAACGACCAGTTGGGCAAGAAATACAATCAATTGTTAATTGGGAAATTAGCAAAATTTTTTTAAACTTTAGTAAACTCTTTTAACGGTAATCTCGAGCTTTCGGCTTCTCTACGGAGCCATCTTCAGGAGTCGTCGTTGAGGTTGCAGCCAAATGGTGTTTCAAAACGAAAACATCGATGAGAGCACTTGTTACAAATATAAAACTAAAAGGACGGAGACATTGGGTTTATTGATAATGACGTCGTTATCTATATGGTGTTAACACCTAACGATGGTTTCCGTATACATATAGAAAAATAATGGGCAAAAATAAGGAAAGTGAATTCGAGTTGAAAATAGGATATGTAACCCGAGCGATACGTATTTCTGCTTGTTGGCTTCATTAGGCCGGAAATGAATGCACATATGCAACCACAAAAGATATACACATGCCCATACATCCGGATATGGGTGTAACCTGAGGAAACGAAGATGGAGAGGGAAAAACTGATACACGAAGTACACAACAAGAGCCAACCTACACATTGTAGTATAAAATGGCCTCGAATTTTCAAGGCGACATCTAACCACAACCACGCGACCAGTTATAGCCACTTGCTGTGGTACCTCAAGCCCAAAGGATCAACAAAGAGAAAAGGATCATGCGGAAAAAAGGTATATAACAAATAGAAATAGTATATAACAAAATCTGCAAAAAGAAGGAAATAGAAAATAGGATAGGTAGCCCGAGCAATACGTATTTCTGCTTGTTGGCTTCATCAGACCAGAAATGAATGCATATATGCAACCACAAAAGAAGATGGAGACGGGACAAGATGAAGTGCCCAACAAGAGCCAACCTACACATTGTAGTATAAAATGACTAGAAGACCTCGAATTTTCAAGGCGACAACTAACCACAACCACGCAGCCGGTTATAGCTACTTGCAGTGGTACTTCAAGCCCATGTCACAACCTCAAAACGAGACGAAATCGGTTTGAAGTTAAATTGTTGTCGGTTTGCTTGTGGTGTGAACACAGTCTAATATTCAATCACGGTTAGTAATATCCTATTTTATGATAAGTAGAAACATTTACATAGCTGTCAAACGATATTTTTTACGATTTAGCAATATATGACACAAAACTTACGGCTTGGTGTAGTGGGTTCAAAATAATCCCCTTGAGAAATCTGTTTTACAAGCCTCCTGAAATTACTACCATCGAATGGCATCGCGCCGTACACCAAGGTGTATAATAACACCCCTAAGGACCAACAATCGACTTCAGGGCCATGGTAAGGAGTGCCTTTCACTATTTCAGGGGAGGCGTACAACGGGGAACCGCAAAAGGTGTTCAAGAGCCTCTGGTCGTCGAAGACGTTGGACAGACCGAAATCTGCAATCTGTAAATAAGAAATCAGTAAAACTTGAGCCACTGAATAGTACAAAAAATGTACAAACTTTCACAAACAGAAATACTGATAAAGTGTTACGCATTTCAATGTTTATTCAAAGCAGCGTCAGCGTATAGTCACGTGGCAATGTCATGAAAATTGTAGAATAAAAAAAGACAGCCTTTGTTCTGATGCCCAATTGTTTCCGGTTGTGTTGAGTAATAATTTACAATAACAGGAAAGATACAAAAATCTTTTCAAACGTCTTACCTTGGCATTATTATTTTCGTCTAAAAGTATGTTCTCCAATTTTAAATCCCTATGACAAATTTTGTGTTTGTGACAATAGTAAGATGCAGTCGCAATTTGTCTAAATATCCTTCTAGCTTCTTCTTCATTCAATACTTTTCTTTCTGATAAATAATCATACAATTCGCCGCCAGCGGCATATTCCATAACTAGAACCATTTTCTCTCTATTCTCAAAAACTGGAAACAAAACAAAAATTAAATATTTCAAATTTCAATAACATGACGATAATGCAGGTGACTGAATAGGGCATTTGACGGCATATCAACATTTTGCCTCTCAAAAGCAGATGTTTTAATTAATTCTGAACTTGTCCTTCAAACTTCAAACTTAAGATTTCCAACTATAATCATGGAAGAAGTATGATATTAATATTGTAGACAAAATTGGCATTTTTTAAAAACTTACTACTTAAATAACTACTAACCTTCGTAAATGTGTATAATATTTGGATGCTGTACAGAAGACATAATTTGAATTTCTCTCCTAATCCTAATCAAGTCAGCTTCAGACTCTATTTTTGATTTCTTTATTGTTTTTATTGCAACTTCTTGTCCAGTCTCTTTGTTTATACCTAACTGTACCTTACCAAATGTACCCTGACCTAGTTTCTTGATTATATCAAACCTACAAACACAATACGGATTTTTCACCTAATAAATACTAAGACATATCTGAAAAATCTCAAACAATTAAATCTTCTATATATATATATATATAAAGTCTACCAGAATCACGTCTGAGCGAACAGACGTAAAAATTTGAACACTTGGCCCATCGCCGCACCCAACCTGTAACCGTCAAGCCATGCAGACGTTTTATATTGTAATAGATGTTACCCGCGACATCGTACGCTTGAAATTGTCATTAACATAAAACGTTTTCAAGTAAGGCTTACTGTCCACGTAAACCGTCAGTCATGCGCACGGTATCCTCAATTGATTCCATCTTGCGTTAAAACTATTTTTTTTTATAGGAACATTAAAAAATGTGCCCACGGAGCGGCGAAGTTGCGGCTGCTAGTCGTCATGCGTTCGCCATGCGGTTCGCGCCGCAGCATGTCACTACTCGAGCGACTGGCGAGATGCAAATATGTATTTGTTTTGTAAAATGGCGGTCTCGGCTCCTAATTTTGTTCACATTATTCAACAATATCCTTGTCTGTATAATAATAAATTACAGAAATACTCAAGACAGGATAACTCTTTCGATGTATAGATAGAGCCAATACATTCTTCGCCTGCTTGAAAAATAAAATATATCTAAAGGTACCCGTTTCTCAACCATCCGACAAAATTACTTTGCTGCTTGCTAGATCTTAATTGTGGAGATGTGTGCCGCCCCCTCCCCCTAAACGTTCAGGTCCATAAAGAGACATCTACATTTTTTTAAAATACAAACAGTCCGACTGCAGTAACTGAGGAGAAGGTAGAATCAATTGTGCCACCAAGATGTATCTAAGGACACGTCAAATCCATTAACCTATTTGGGCTGTAGCCCATGAGATAGTAATCTCAATGTTGAAGTTTGCGTTTAAAATCTGCCATTTCTATTTTACAAAATTTTGGCATACCCAGTGTTTCTCGCACTGTCAATACAAATTCCAACAAGCCGTTTAAGCTGTGGCCCGTGAAATAGGAATGCGATTTGAGTGATTTTTTATTAAATTGAATATCACCCAATATACAATCGGCCAGACGGAAATGTTACTGAACATGAATTCTGGAACCACCAATGTGCCTCCCTTGAATTTTGCTATATGAGCGCCCATGACGCTTTGGTAATTTGGTTACCTTATTAGTGACGCCACCTACGTTCCGCGGGTAAGTCACGGAGCAGTTAGTCAATATTTATTAATTTAGTTATTAAAAGGAACTTTCCATGTGAATTTGATAAAGTCAACACAAGTATGAGACGATGTGTTAAAAATATTTGCTCGAATTCTTCAGCATGCAGACTGTTGCAGAATGTTATCAAAACAATTTAGGCGCACATTCAACACACAACACATAATGTATGCTAAAAATCTATATAAACACGAGTCCGGAAATATCCCATCTCCACAATACGTGTTTAGCGAAAAATTGTCCGCTAGTGGTTTTTGCAAAACTATATTAACTCTTGGAGTATTTCGTTACACTAGTTAAAAAAGTATCAGCTCGTTTACTATTTTCAAGAATGAATAACTGATTGATGTACTCCTTAATAAAAGGGGAGGTTACATCTGAACACATATCGCTCTTAAACAATTAAAAAAACAAAGGTTTTAAAATAACAATATCCCCTAAAATGCTTCATGATTTTGTTAGTAGATATTTAGAATCTTTGAAAACATTAAAACTTTACTTTTCTCCTATTGTTTTTCGAGGTCGACATGGTATATTTTTGCACTTTTCCCAATATTAAATGGCTTATATCTCGAAAACTTTAGAGAAATGGAGCTGGAACCTTTTTTGATCAGAACGACCTTTGCCCGGAGTAAAAAATTAAATGTATTTGTTTAAACAATTTTGGGCCTGGCGACATGTAGATCCGTTAAAGGCTACCCTTGGACTTCCCTGTTCTGTAACGTCCTGTATAGACAATGCAGATTTAACCTACAAGACACCATTTTTGGACATCGCGACATCAATTTTTTTTCAGTCCAAATTTTCTTGCCACTTACAAATTGAATTTTGGTTGCATCCCACTTAACTTTTAGCAAGGTCTAACCCAACTTTTCCTGAATGACGACGTTTGAAATCCGCCATAAAGCTTCAGTTGTTTCGAAAATAGTATCTCGTTCACAAAATTACATATTTACTGTTTAATCACCCAACGGCTATTTAATATTATACACGCATTATGTTCGATCGGAGGTTTGGACAAATTCCAATACCAAATGCGATCTTTTGCCAACACCATTTTTTCGCGTGATGTTTTGGACAGCCTTGCAGCTCTGGAGATAGTATGGATGGACAAACAAAAAATATAGTTTATGAAAATCATAAAGATAAGGCTTCCAATTTATATTGCTCTGATGTTGCTATGATCCAGGCAAAAATCTTTAAATTCCGTTTAATACAGCGCAGATATGATGATATGATGAGATGTCACAATGCATAAATATACATAGAAAGCTATTTCTTGTTGGCTCTGTGAATATCGTCTGATTTCGCAACTACTAGCCATCAACAAATCATTACTCCGTCTTGTTTCAGTCAATTTTGGGATCGGGTCGGGTGTACTGGTTCTGACATTTTGAAAATACAGTAATTTCGATGACATATTCGTAATCAGGGCACCCGTATTATGTAAAATAATCGCTATGATAGCGATCTGATCGCCATACTGGTCACTTATGTACCAGCTAGTCGCTAGCTCACGCCACGCCATGGAAGAATGTTATAACGACCTCTAGAATAAAACTTACAGTTTAGGCCATAGAAACTGAGTAAGGCCTCCGCTAGCGCCATCTCTAAAACAGATGTTACATCACCTCATAGCCACACCACATATCCCAAGTATCTTAACGTTTAAGCAACACAAACAGCTACTACGAGTGAACAAAGTGTTAATGACAGTTAGTTCCAAAGTGACAATTATGGCAATAAGCCGGGGTATTACGTATCTCAAAAAGTGTCTTTTTGTGACATTATGTACGTTTTTCTTCAAGATGTCAACGAAGCACTGACTGTTATACCCTTGTTGTGTATTCGTTCCGTAGCTGTACGTGTTGTCAAAACGTCATGATGCTTCAGCTGTCAATGTTTGGCTCTGCTTCAGAGATGGCATTGGTCTAAGCTGTAAGTTGCATAATATAGCTGGAAGAAAACGGCGGAGCATAGGTGCGTAGTGAAGATGTGTGTCCTAATAATCTGTGTTGATGATATTTCCTTTGGTTTCTTGTCTCAAATACGCTTAGTTGAGTATGATATATTATATATTTAGTTCCGCCTACGCAATTTTCTTATTAAACCTGGAAATAACAATCTGCATGTTTGCTGAATTTCAAAAAAGAGAGCCATAAGAAAAGAAAATCCATGGTTCCTGAAATATATTAGAACTAACAGGTGAGAAAGAATGGTACATACAGGTATATTTATGAAACGTAAAAACGTTATTACATTTCACATTCATTTTTAGTTCCAGTCATTTGAATTTTATAGAAATTTATTTTACGTTGTCAAGTAGAAAATACAAATCAGCGCCTATGTGTGTGAGGCTGTACAAAAATGTTTTGTATGCGTTGCGTCATTCGTAATTTTTCTGTGATTTGGCTTAATTACACACAACACAACTGCGATGCTGATTTCCCGTACTGCTTCTCAAAGTTTTTGAAAACGCAAAAAAAACTGGGAAAATCGTGATGTATAACTTTGAACATAACCTCTCTTCAGAAAGGACATCACAAATAACCCGTTTGACAACTAATAGTTATATTTTATGGGCAGAAAATTCAGTAATAATTTTCTCACATAGCAAATATCACTGATTTTATACACATGCAGACCAATACGAGTACACACAATCATCCAGATGTGAATTTGCTGTTCTGCTACACAACCACAAATCGGATTCGCGTGTTAGTCATCTTGTAGTGCAGACGTAGTGATAGTGAATCCGAAAAATTTACTGATCAAAAGCAAATATAGGACAATCAGAACATTAGGTGTTTGTGAATAACTACACTCTTGTGTTGTGCCAATCTGCCCGACTGCCAGTTTCTCTTGCTAAGAGATCTTAACCTATCACTCGGCCGAATAAGAAAGCAACGCTCAAAAGTAGATGGAAGTAGAGGTGAGGGGTGCTTCGGCCCCCTCACAATATCGCAAAAAGACAATCTATCCCAGACAGATATACATGAAATTATTGTGGGAAACCAGGATACACAAAATAAAGAAACAATAGGGGAATAGCAAGAAAACAAACGTAGACGCAAAAAAGAAATGGTACGACTCAGACAATGATCTTGGACCGTATCTCGTTATAATTGATGGCAATAGCCACCAGAATATCGGAAAAATGAGTATCATGAAAATAGCGAAGGAAATTTTCTATCTACATTTATGTAATATTAGGAAGGTCAATCCAAATGGGAAAAACAGGTTAGGTGTCGAATTTACGGGCAGAGCAATCGCCAACAACTTCGCAGACAATAAATCATCAAACAATCAGGTTACGTGTAGGGGAATAATAAGGAGGTAGACACTGCATTTACAGAAGAACAAATATTAAACGACATAGAAACATACTATAAGGTGTTAGAAGTGAGAGGGATGAATAGGAAAACAATTAGCGAAACAGGGGAAACAAAATATATGCCAACGGGAACAATAATGCTAACTTTCTTGGGAACCACCCAACTTAAGGAAGTTAAACTATACCACCTCTCTTGCGCGGTAATACCATACATCCCACCAGTAACACAATGCTTTGCATGCCTCCGATTTGGACACACTAAGGACCAATGTAAAAAATGCTTTAACTGCGGGTCAAATGAATCTTAGCTGTACCAAAAACTACATAAACACCGCAATTCACACAAGCAACCTGATGTGACAAACTCTGAATACTTCCCCAGAATAAGGAAAAGTGCCCCAATCGCACAGGGAGGTCTAGCTTATCACGAAAATAATGTCAAAACA